TGTATTTGGAAGTATTGTGTACGTGATGTACAACTCCCAAGAAATTTCAAAACTAGATCCAAAATCCAGGAAATGCAAATTCTTGGGGTACGTTGATGGTGTAAAGAGGTATCGCTTGTGGGATCCCACTGCCCGAAAAGTGATCATTAGCAGAGATGTTATCTTTATGGAAGATAAGATACAAAGAAAAGAAGACGATGATAGCACTGAAAAGTCAGACACTACACAAATACATGTGGAAAGGAGTTAGAACAAGGAGATACTTTTGAAGCAGAACCAACACATGATGAACATGAACCAGAGAGTTCTGAAGCTCCAATAACTCGTCAATCATATCGTGTGAGAAGACGTCCCAATTGACACTCAGATTATGTTATAGAAGAAAATGTTGCATACTGCCTTTTAACAGAGGACGGTGAGCCATCAACATACCAGGAGGCAATAAACAACTTAGATGCTTCACTGTGGATGATGGCGATGCAAGAAGAAATTGAAGCCCTTCATAAAAATAATACATGTGACCTTGTGCCACTACCATAAGGAAGGAAGCCAATTGGTAACAAATGGGTCTTCAAAATCAAGCGAAATGGTGATGATCAAGTGGAGAGATATTGTGCAAGACTGGTGGTCAAAGGATATGCTCAAAAAGAAGGTATTGATTTTAATGAAATATTTTCTCCTGTTATTTGACTAACAACATTTCGAGTAGTTTTGGCAATGTGTGCTATACATCTAGAGCAACTAGATGTTACAATAACTTTTCTTCATGGAAATCTTGAAGAAGAGATTTACATGCTTCAGCCTGAAGGTTTTGAAGAAAAAGAAAAGAAGAACTTGGTCTGCAGGTTGAACAAATCTTTGTACGGTCTAAAGCATGCGCCGAGGTGTTGGTATAAGAGATTTGATTCCTTCATTGTGTGCCTTGGATACAATAGACTTAATGTAGACCCTTGTGCTTATTTCAAGAGGTCTGGTGATAATGATTTTGTTATATTGCTGTTGTATGTGGATGACATGTTGGTTGCAGGACCCAACAAAGATCATATTGAAGAATTGAAGGCACATCTGGCTAGGGAATTTGAAATGAAGGACTTGAGATCAGCAAACAAGATTCTAGGGATGTAAATTCACCAAGACAGAAGTAATAGGAAGATTTGGCTTTCACAAAAGAATTACTTGAAGAAGATATTATCACGATTAAACATGCAAGATTGTAAGCCAATTTCTACCCCTCTTCCTATTAACTTCAAATTATCCTCCAGTATGAGTCCTAACAGTGAAAAAGAGAAGATGAAGATGTCTCGAGTATCGTATGCATCAGCAGTGGGAAGTTTAATGTTCGCTATGATATGCACAAGACTAGACATTGCACGAGCAGTGAGAGTGGTTAGTCGGTACATGGCGAATCCATGAAAAGAGTATTGGAATATAGTAAAGAGGGTTTTGAGATACATCAAAAGGACCTTAAATGTTGCATTATGTCACGGAGGATCAAACTTACTAATCAATGGGTATGTAGATTCTGACTATGCAGGGGATTTGGATAAAAGCAAATCTACTACAGGATATGTGTTCAAAATTGCTGGTGGAGCTATAAGCTGGGTTTCAAAATTACAATCAGTTGTGGCTACATCCACAACAGAGGCAGAATATGTAGCAGCTACACAAGCCAGTAAAGAAGCAATTTGGTTGAAGATGCTATTGGAGGAGCTTGGGCACAATCAAGAGTATGTCTCTCTGTTTTGTGACAATCAAAGCGCCTTGCATATAACAAGGAATCCAACATTTCATTCAAGGACAAAATACATACGAGTTCAGTACTATTTCATTCGTGAAAAGGTGGAAGAAGGGACGGTACATATGCAGAAGATCCATACCAAAGACAACATAGTAGATTTCATGACGAAGGCGATCAACACTGATAAATTTACCTGGTGTCGATCCTTCTGTGGTCTGTCAGAGACGTAAGCAACATGATGGTACAAGGTATAAAGAATGGTGTGAAGATATGATTGTTTCAATCAAATCTTCAAGTGGGAGATTATTGAAAAATCAAAAACCACATGGGCTGCTAGTTAGCAGCCGGTGGCTTTGAAAAAAAAATTATTATTAGCCAATTTTGTTGAATATTTGCTAAAGGGGATAATTATATTTAGTCGCTGAACTTTAGGGTATTTACAAGATTAATCCTTAAGCTTCAACTATAAATACCCTAACCCATTTAGCTTCAAAATAATCCCAAAGCATTCTAGCTTTCTTCCAATTCTAGAGAATTTAGAGAGTTTCTTGAGAGTTGTTTTCTCCTTTTTTATCAAGAGAGAATTATCATTGTTTTCTCCTTGGTAGATCGAGAGAAGTTGTAATTCCTATTTTCTCATAGTGAAATTCTTCTACCGTTGCCCGTGGTTTTTACCCTATATTATTTAGGGGTTTTCCACGTAAATTTTGCTATTTTATCTTCATTTTTATTTTCTCAAATTATCAGTTGCGATTTTGCTCTATCCGATAGCCGTCTTCCGCAACAATTTGCTGGTAGTTGCAGATAGTTCAGGACCAATTTATCAAAACCCTTGAATCCATCAGTTGGACTTACGACAGAGTTGAAAATGAGGACTAGGGTTGATTATCGAACGAGTCGATCACGAGTTGGACAGTGCTTGACTCGTGCTCATTAAAAAGTTTTGTTGCTTGACTCGACTCGTTGCTCGTTAAGCTTGTTAAAATTTTGCTCGACTCGTGCTCGTTAAAAATAGTTCTTGCTCGACTCGATTCGTTTCCCGTTGAGCTCACCAAAATTTTTACTTTGTTTTTTAACTATAGTTGAAATCTACTAATACTATATAAAACTTAATATAAATATAAATTAACAAATTTAACCAAAAAAATTATTAAAAAGATGTATGGAACAATTTCAAAGTCTAAAATTTAAAGTAACAATCCAAAAATATATCAAACTAATATATTAAAACCAAATAACAATCCAAAAATAAATCAAACTAACGTATTCAAAACATTCTTGAAAAAAAAAAGTTCAACAACACAAAATCAATCCTAAAAATAAAGAAATCAACATCTCTTCACTCTATTTATTGTTTCTTGCAATCACCAAACTACAAAGTTATAAATTTTTTTAAAAAATTAACGAGTTGTTCGCGAACTTATCGAGTCGAGTTAGACTTTGTTCGACTCAACTCGTTAAGATATCGAGTCGAGTCAAACCGAGTTGAGTTTTAATCGAGTCAAGTTCTAGCTGTGCACGAGTTGTTCAACTCATTAAGCATCCCTGCTAAGGATGCTGTCAAGAACGAGAACAATTATCGGGTAATGAACCAGACCTCTGACTAGTGGCAGATCCACCCTTAGTTTAAGGTAGACATGTGCCCATTCTGAAATCTAAATTTTCTTTTACCAATTACTCATTTTATTGATTGTTCACGTCTTGAAATTTATTTGTATCCAATACATACGAAAGTTTTGTATTATTAACGTCTATGTGTTCACCCTAAAAAAATATTTTTAGATCCGCTAGTGCCTCTTACTTCTAGACCCAGAATCATCACGCTATATAGCTCAGGACTAACTATCCGACAGATTCACAACTGGATCTAGTCTGGATCAATGATCTGCTAACAAACTTGAGCTCAATGGCTTGTTAACAAGCTCAAACCGAAAGTTCTTCGACCTGCCATTCCTTAATAGGGTCTTCATAATTTGGACATGGGGAAATTCTCCATTGAAGACTAGGGACTGGCTCCTTAAACTCATTTTCTATATCCCACATGAGGTTAACTTGCCTCACACTTAACGTACTCTTACTCCATCTTCTTTTTCACAGTGACATTTAGAAAATAAACCATTTTGTAATGTCCGCAACATTTACAACTGTAATTTAGGACTATGATCACCCTAAGTGGATAAAACCCAAGCAGAGTCCCGGACAGATTCAGTGCTGCTTGCGCACCTTTTGCACAGTCACAACCAAGCCGTCAAGCATTAAAGAACATAAATATCAATTTTACGGTTACATTGACAATCCCTAAATAGATAATGCATCAAATAACGGTAGTTGAACATGACCTTTATCGGTGAACTCAATAAAGGCAAAACGAAGTACAGAATTAGGACCGCCACATATGCGACAGTCAACCACCTTCGCAAGAAAAACAACTCATTCGGATTTACTGTTTTCATGAAACTAATAAAGAGAAATGAAAATAATATCACCTGCCCGCAACTCACAAACAAACATGCAAGTTGCTCTTCAGTGACCTGCATTCCCAACGAGCAAGACACTACATGAATTTAAATACCAAGAGAAGATATAACAGAAGCGACGGCGGTGGCTGAACAAACGGACGGCGACGACGTTGGGAAAGATTGGGATTTGGAAGAGGGATTGGGAGATTTTATATTTCACTAAATTAATAGGATTTTTAAATATTAAGAATTTATTAAATTATTTTGAATTAGAATTGTGATATAATATGTAAACTGTTGAGATTAAAATTATTGTTATATAACATATTATTATTTTTGTTAAGTAAATGATAAAATTTAATTATATATAGATGATATCGTTTAATTAATGTCTCAACTTCGAGTCATTGTGTATGTAGAAAATTATTGTTGAGAGACTCACTCACCAAAGTCAGATGTACGACGTGAGTCTATCCGAATTAATCAAGAAAAAACCTTTGAATCAGGAGAAAAAAACACATAAATAAGATATAGTATTACTACTTTTAAAAAATTATAATCAAATAAAAAACATAAAAATAGGCGAGTAACTAAATAAATGAATTTAAAAAAATCACATCAAATTAGGATACGTGAACAAGTTTATGAGTGAGTCAGATATTGAATTAAAGCCAAAAGCTGCTTCAATTGTCACGCAGGACGCAACGCATATGCACCAAGCAATAGCGTGGACTCATCGCAAGCCAAACATATACTCGTTTATGATTTCACCCTTCGATGTTATAGTATTATTTTATTTAGTTTAAAAAATTATCTGCAAAATGTTATGTGGTCGAACATTTTAACTAAAATTTCAAGACTTCTATTCTCCCAGCTGAACGGCTTCTCTCCAACGCCAAATATCCCCTCTCCCTCAAGGGTTTCATAATGAACTTGGTTCACTCCAATTGCATACACAAATCTCAATTCTCATCTTCACCTGTCTCTATCCATGGCGTCCCACCGCCACGAATAAACAAGAAGAAGCTTTCGGCTTTCAGAGTTTCTAGTCTTGCCGCCTCAATGACTGAAGTTTCGGTAGACAATGGAACACTCAGGCGGAGTTTAACGACTTCCGTCAACTCCCAGAATAAGGCGTTACCTTCGAGGATGTCTAGCAGTGCTATGGAACAACTTGATTTCGAACGCGGTGTTTGCATCCCCTTTCGCAAGTACTCTCCTGAGACAGTACGATAATATTATATGCTATTAATCAGATCATATTTATTTCAATTTGCTTTGCTTTTATTTTATTTTCCTGGTTAGCCTGCTTGGTTTTACTGTTCCTAGGAAACCCGTTAATGTATGCGTTTAATTCTTATAAAGCAAGAAGGTCGTATTGAAGTTGCTAATTGCAATCGCTGTGTTTAATATGATATTTTTTTGGGCATATAGGTCAGAAATAAGGTACTGGAGTCTCGAGGGGCGGTTGCATCACTAATTTTACGTGGTGTGGAGATTGTGTGGAATTTGGGTCTGTATTGGTCTTCTTTGATGTACGATTGTTTGGTCGGAAGGGATGAAGAGGTTGTTCCCTTTCGAGCTCGCCAACTCAGGAATCTCCTATGTGATCTCGGACCATCTTTTATTAAAGCTGGCCAGGTTTCACTCTTCAATTTTCAAACTGTTGTTGTAAATGCTTCTTCTAATTTCTCTGTTTGAACTCACTGGGTCCTATATTCTAAAAGATGATTTTTCCAAAATGCCTACCAAAAACTGTTGAAAAGAGATTGATGATAAGCTAATGGTTTTAACTTTAAGCTTAGGTTGACCAGGTGATGGTTATTTTATTTTGTTCTGGTAGGTTCTTGCCAACAGACCTGATATCATCAGAGAAGATTATATGAATGAACTTTGCATTCTTCAAGATGATGTTCCTCCTTTTCCCAATCAGGTAAGAATTTACTCTATTATCCCTGTGTTTCTCAAATGGCCAGATTTTGTGTTAGCTGGGATCATGCCATTTTACTTGATGAGAATTGTGTTGACAGGTTGCTTTTAAAATCATTGAGGAAGAATTGGGCCAACCCCTTGAAGCTGTATTTAGCAAAATTTCATCGCAAACTATAGCAGCTGCAAGCTTGGGTCAAGTTTACCGTGCGACACTTCGTTCTTCAGGAGAGGATGTTGCAATTAAGGTATTAGAGTGATTAAACACTGTTTTTCTTTTCCCTTGTTCCTTAGTTCCGTGTCTATTGCTCAACTTGTAAGTTGATATTTTCTTGTTGATCCTATTTCTCTTTGGAATTTGATAAGCTAAACCACTTACTTTGATATTATTTCGATGATCAAATTATCTGTGTTTGAGCACCTGTTGCAGTTTAAATTGTACTGCATGAATTGTTACATGATAATTGCACTTTGGGCTACAAGTTAAGATCACATTCTCAAGTACTGTTGCACCTTAAGTTCTACAAGCATGTATAGTGTTCTACCTGTAGCTTCTGTAATTTTACTCTGGGTTACTTGCTTGCTTTAAATGCCTTGCTGTGGTCAGTTCAAAAGTAGTGATTTTGGTTTGCTTAACATCTAATGCAGATTATTATTGTAATTTTAGCTATCTTATTTAGCTTCTGCACATTATCAAGGAAATGTTTCCTACTCATGTTACTCTACATGCCTTTAATTTTTTTCATCAGCCTAAGTTCGAAACTACTAATTACTATTTGCCACTTTTGCATTTAAGGGTCCATAATTTTCATGATTAGAGATCTCTATACTTGATTTTCTCTTATATGTGTCATTTTGTTTTAGTTGACCTATTAAAATCTGCCAATGAATTATGAAGTTCTGCCGAGAAAACATATTAGTTATTGTCTGTCATGCACACCTATATTTGCATTTGCTGGATTTGTTTTTGAAGTTCAACTCTAAAATGGTAATCATACAACAAAAGCAAGGACATACAATTAATAATATTTCATTTACTTACAGGTGCAGAGGCCACAGATAGAACCTATAATCTATCGTGATCTTTTTCTATTTCGAACACTTGCCTCCTTCTTAAATGGAATTAGCATACAAAAATTGGGCTGCAATGCTGAACTAATAGTTGATGAATTTGGTGAAAAGCTTTTGGAGGAGCTTGATTATACCTTGGTATGTTCATTTATTCTAAGCTTCCTGGTGCTTTGCCTATGCTCTTTTTACAAGGATAACATTGGAGTTTAGCTTGATTTCCAGAATGCCAGTCACGATAATGCCTTTCTACATATTCATTAAAGTGGTAAACAAACACTGCTAAAATGGATGTGTTGTTTGTATTTCTATCTTATATTCTTTTCTTTCTTTATTATTTAGGAAGCCAGGAACATTGAAGACTTCCTTGAGAACTTCAAAGATGATCCTACTGTTAAAATTCCTCGGGCTTACAAACAATTCTCTGGGTCACGTGTTTTGGTAATGGAATGGATAGATGGCATTCGATGCACTGACCCAAAGGTTTGGATATCAAGATTGTATTCATTATGTATTCATTTGGAAGCAATTTCATGTTGTTGTATCACTCTTTGTAACATTGTCTCAATGCATCTCAGGCCATCAAGGATGCTGGAATTGACGTAAATGGATTTCTAACAGTTGGAGTAAGCGCTGCTCTCCGGCAGTTGCTTGAATTTGGGTTATTTCATGGAGATCCACACCCTGGAAATATATTTGCCTTGCGAGATGGACGTATTGCTTATGTGGACTTTGGGAATGTGGCTGTGCTTAGTCAGGTAAGATATACCAGAAGTCAAATTCTGTTTTTCAGCATGTTACCAATTATAAAAGGCAATTGATAGCAATAGTAGTTTATTTTCACTATGTTTGGTATGTCTTACCTCACACATTGTTGTGCCTTTTGTTTTTCAGCAAAATAAGCAGATACTAATTGATGCTGTTGTCCATGCTGTTAATGAGGACTATGCTGAAATGGCAAATGATTTTACCAGACTTGGTTTCTTGGCTAGTGGAACTGATGTCTCTCCTATTATTCCAGCTTTAGAAGCTATCTGGCAGAATTCTTCTGGAAAAGGACTTGCTGACTTTAATTTCCGAAGTGTTACTGGTAATATATATATATATATATATATTTATATGTATGTATATAATATTGTGTTTTTAGTTGATAAATCATTATTCTTAACTTATGTTTGATTTATGAAGATTACAAGCCTTATATATCTGCTATTTTAACTGCAGGGCAATTCAACAAACTGGTTTATAATTATCCCATTAGGATTCCAGAGAGGTTTTCTCTTGTTATTCGTTCTTTATTGACTCAGGAGGGTATCTGTTTTAAACTCAAGCCAGATTTTAAATTTCTAGAGGTGAGGTTACATTTTTTCTTTTACTTGCCCATTGCCCCACCCTCACCCTTTTTACACCTTCAATTATTTAGTAGAGTGGTCCTGGGGTTATCATATCATTATAACCTTAGTGGATAGCTTCTTTTTTTTTCATTTTTTTACACCTTCAATTATTTAGTAGAGTGGTCCTGGGGTTATCATATCATTATAACCTTAGTGGATAGCTTCTTTTTTTTTCATTTTGTCTTTGGAACATCTAGCTTATAACATGTGTATGAGCAAAAAGAGAAGCAAAATATTACAAACTGGGATTCTTTTGAATTTATGAATGTCCATAGGAAAGGCCTGCCCCTTTGGTTCCCTTAAAACACATCTTCTCTAAGCTCAAGAATTGGTGCTGCACTAGTTTACTCCTTTGTTAATATGCCAATGGTTAGGATTTTTTTAACCGATCTTCAGCTTCTTATGTGAATATACCCCTGTTGTGATTAAGAGCTTGTTATGTTTCTGTTATGCATAAAATGGGATAATTATTTTATTCTTGATTGCATTGGTACACTGTCTGATGCACATCATACCAATCACTCTACTGATTTTAAGTGTTTTCACTAGGTTGCTTACCCATATGTGGCAAAGCGCCTGTTAACAGATCCTAATCCAGCTCTTCGTGAACGCCTCATACAGGTACTTGTATCTGTTACTTGATTTAGAATGCCCATCGCTCTTATATTCCATTTGATAAAGTGAAAATGCCCTTCCTCTGCATGTGCCATTTAAATTAAAGGAGTATACTTATAATTACCAATTAGATTCAGTGTAACAGCACTATGTCAAAATGATGATTTTGGGCTATACTTACTACTACAACTTGGTTCCAAATTGCTTGTGGTGCACTTACTACATATAAAAGGGATTTGAGACTTGTTATTTGTGTTGCCTCTTTGCATATCATTTCCATTCGCAGGTCATGTATGTACTAGGTTATCATAAATGACACTTCTTAAGTAGAGTTTATATTGTTATTATGGTAAATCAATAACTGTTGTTGCCCAAGTTGTTGCATTGAAAGGTTTCTGAGATTGTAATCAAGACTAAGGGTCCTTTTCTGTCAGGTTCTTTTTAAAGATGGTGTTTTCCAGTGGAAACGGCTAGAAAATCTTATTGTTCTTGCGAAGGAAAATGTGGCCAAAATGAGTAGTAACCCTGCACTGCAAGTGAAGAAGAGTGTGTACGAATCTGATGCCTAATCTCTTACTCATCTTGTTTTAGATTCCATCAAATAATGGGCAGTTGCATAAAGTTTTCAATTGTTTTTTCTTTTCTTAGGCCAAGTTCAAGAAGCTGGCAAACAGTAAGCAAATTGGACTTGACAGACACCATTAAAGACGGAGCTCGCCTTTTCCTCTTTGATGAAGGTATCCGTAGACAGCTTCTGCTTGCTCTGACTGAAGACTCTAAGCTCCATGTTGAAGAGGTTTGTATGAATTTCAGTAGTTGCAATTCGATGGTTAGAATACCTTATGTATGAGGCTCCTTAATGCTATGTTTTGTCTATCAGCTGGTGGATGTCTATAGACTGGTTGAAGATGATATAGACGTACCAGCGGTGGCTAGGGAAATTGTACGAGGTAACTTTCTTCGAGCTTTTCAAGTTACATCAGAATATTAATACAACCTGTTGTGATGAGATAATAAGTTGGTTGGTTAACTGTGTTTCTGGTTGTTAAATCTCCTTTCTTTGGGTAGATTTTCCAAATGTTGTTCGGGATTTCTTGCTTTCATGGAGCAACTCGGTTTTATCTGATAGATGAAGCAAAATTTTGGCAGACATTTATTTTGTATAGATGAGTTCCAGTACACGTTGTGGAGCAAGAGAGCAGCTGGTTTATTGAAACTGTGACAAGTGAATATGAATGTTGTACCTTATTGGAGTTGATAGTTGTATATAATATATATTCATTATTGGTGTAGGTGGTTATCACATTGTATATGGCCTATTTGCAATGGAAAGGTGGATTTTATTAAATGTGAAACGGAAAACAAATTTAATCGAGGTTTGGTTCATAGAATGTTAGACTAATTATGATATTTATCTACATTATTTATCATAAAAATATTATTTCGTTTTATTAAGTTTGATTTAATCATTAGGAATATTAGATTTTGATATTTGGTTGAAGGTATAAAAAATATTTAAAATCACATTTTATAAAAATGGTTGTCCTTTTTTTCTCATATATATGGGGTAAGGGGAGGTAAGATAGTAGGCTACCCCCAACACCAGATTGAGAGCAGCTTTCGTAAGAGATATCCAAATTATGAAATGCCCTCCGTAGGACTTGATCCCACGACCTCAAGGTTAAGAACCTTGTGCTCTACCAACTGAGCTGGATGGTCATTTCATTTTATAAAATTTAGTTTAATACAAAAATAAATGCTCAAATTATATTTTTTTCCATTAGGTGTATAAATTATTTTTCGGTCAATCCAGATGCGTAACGTTACAAATGTTATCATTTTAAGTGTTCTGATTGTAACGATCATTAAAAATTTTCATTAAGTATAATGTTGTATCTGTTTTTTAGATAATTCTTAATCATTTGACATTAAATGCTCAAACCTTTGATATTCATGATTCGTACACATATAATTAGTCTATTGTGTAAGATAAGAGGCATTGGTGACTGAACAGTGACATAAGTGTAATGAAAACGAAGAGCGACAAGGTTTACATGATATTAGACACACACTTAAAATAAAAAAAAAGTAGTTAACCCTATTCCCATATGTAATGAGGTGAAGAGGAGATAAGGTAGTAGGTAGTAGGTTGTCCCCAACGCCAGGTTGAGAGCAGCTTCCGTGGAAGACCTCTGGCAGTCAGAATTATGAATTGTCCACAGTGGGACTCAATCCCACGACCACAAGGTTTAAGAGCCTTGTGCTCTACCAACTGAGTTAGACGGGCAATTCTTGTGCTTAAAATGAAATAGTATATTCTTGTGCTTAAGCCTATTACATCAATGTGTATTTATAATTTATTCTCAAATTAATTAGAAACCGTTTAACATAATACGACCTAATTAATTAACAAACTAACTGTTAGTGCTAACTTTATTTCTAAAATATTGTGGGTAGGATTTTTTTGTTTATTGCTTTTTCTAATGACAGAAATAATAAATTTATTTGTTAAAAAATAATAAAGAAATAAAAAGACCAAAATGATACTATAAGTTTAAAAAAGTGATATTGAAAGTACCATGTATTAGGATCGTTGCTAATCCTTGATAAAATAATATTGTCTGTCCTGTATTATAATATGATTCTAAATTTGATATATTAACTTAAAATTTTATAATTCATGAATTATATTTTGTTTTTGTTCAATTAAAAAAATAAAAAATTATTGAGGAGCCCGGCCCATTTTAAAAAGAGTATACTAGGCTACGCCAGCCTAAGTAACGGTTGAAGTTCAATTTTTCCTCAAATTTCCTAAAAGCTTACGATTTAGCCCAAAAGAGAGGGGGAAAAAAGAAACTCGAGAAACAAATATATCTGCAATTGCCGGCAGGCAATCGAAGCATTGCTTACATCCAGAGAAGAGAGAGAGCATCTGGGTCCCTCCCTCCCCCCTCGCCTTCCTCGGCCTCAATCAGGTATCTTGCTCAATTAACTGGTTTCTTTTGGATGATTGAAAGCGGCTTTACAATAACATGCTCTTTTACTAAATAGGCCAGTCGGTATGATATTTAGGGAGTGGTCAAGTTTCTGTGAAATTCATAATCTATTGCGATTCTTCCTAATCAAGATAAATGCCTGAAAAAACTTGCACTACCTAGACTATGAAACGGTTAAACTGTTGAGCTTTTTATTTTATTTTAGTTTAGAACATTTTAGTTTCACTCCTCAACTAAGTCTGATTATTTGAATCTCTAGTTAGTATAGTTGAGTTTTAGTTTTGGTTATTTAATCATTAGAAGGAGAAGGGAAGCGAGCTTTTCTGGGGAAAGAAAAACTGAAATACTCGAGACACAATTTGAAAGAAAAAAAATGGAAGAGTGTATATTGTGTGAACTGAATTGGATTTTGGGTTTTCATGCAGTGCAGCTTTAGCCTTCATCGATGTGGGAGAGATCTTAGTATTGGTTAAAGGTTGATTTCATTTCCCCTTGCAATTCCTGCTATTATTTGGAATATGGGACTCTTTTTCTTAGCTTAGACTTTAAATTCTCTTTGTGAACTTGTTTCATAATTGATTGAAATATCTGTTTCTTTCTTGGGTGCTAGAACTATGCCTCGAAAAGTTAGTTACGGAAACGAGTATGCCGATGGCTATAATGACTATGACTATGACTATGACTATGACTATGATTATGAAATTGGATATGCTGTAGAAGAAAATGGTAAGTGGACTTTTTTCCCTCCATTTTTGTCACATCTTAGTTTTACGATGAGATTCCAATTAGATGCTTTTTTGTTAGTTAACTTTATGTTTCATGAAAAGCTTCTCTAATATGAGCCTATAATTTAATACTGATCAAAATGGTTAACAGAAATTATACATTTATCATTCTGCTTACAGACTTAATGCTATTTGTTTCTTAAAACAGTGAAAGGACCTTCTGAGCAAGATACTATCAGACATGGTGTGTGGCGTTGCTCCATTTGTACTTATGATAATGATAATACCATGTCATCATGTGATATCTGTGGGGTTCTTCGCAGTCCTTCGGTCAGTAACAGAACCTATGATGAGAAGAGAACAGGTATGTGTTACAATTGTAGTTGACCTCTTGATGTTTCTGTTTATATCATCAAGTATGGGGGAACTATTAAATTCTCCTTGTTCCCCTCTCCATGTTCCTCACCTCACTTCCTATTTAATTCAGGATGTACATGTTCCATCTTCTTTAGATTAGATAACTTGTGGATGGTTGGATGTCCAGTACGTCTCTTTGTTTCCAAGGTTCCTTTTTGCATTGGTGAGACATTTTATAGATTAGACCCCTTTCCTGCAGTTCATGGCATATGCAAAGTTTCTGGAGTATCTGTTATGGCCAAGTCACTTTTTGCATCATCGCCACATCAAATGTCCAAAAATGTTGTAGATTCTCAACAACAGAACAATGATTTTCGGCTGAAAGAGGGCAATAACTTCCACCTGCTTGGGAATAACCAACAACAGTTTCATGAATTTCATGAAGCTTATAGTTCTCCTACCCATTCTCGTATTAATATAGGTCTGGACATATTAGTATCACAGGTGTTACTTTAATGTGAAAATATGCTGTTCCAAACAGAAGGAACATTTTGTTGTTTATTTTAAAATTCCTTATTATTATTATTATTATTATTATTATTATTATTTTGTCATCTACTTTTGGGAGGCATTTTAACGTTTTTCTTTTCAAAAATAGTGCTTGATGTATCTTGCAATTATATATTCTAACCATACATGCTTTAATGATACAGCCCCTTTCAAATTTGATACTCCATCTCCAGATGACATGGTTTCCAATGGCATGCATTTGTCTAAACAGCATCCAAGAGGTATTCTTTGGCTATTGCAATTGGATATGTTGAAATCATTCCCTAGTAGTCGTTGTACTCGGCATTAAAGAAACTAAAGGACCATTGTTTTTCAATGAGGATAGTTCATTTCTTATTGTCATTATTCTGTATTGCTGCAATGAATTGGGATCACAATCAAACTATATCTGCTTCATCTTGATATGCATATGCAAGTCTGAATTCTATATAGGTGCTGATTTTCTGTTTAGCATTTTAAGAGTGTGGTTATACATTAAAGTTCAAAGTCTCTAAAATGGACCCAGAATTAATGGATATTGTGGATAACTTTTTCCATTTTACCGAGTTAAATGTTGTCTTGTCTTCTTTCTATGCTTCAATTCATTTGCAGCACAGAATTTTGGCTTGAAATCTTCCAAAGTTCCCTCAAGTGTGGTTGGGAAGAATAAGGCAGTTAAAGCATCAAGTGCTAAAAGGTCAGATAGCTCATATGACTCAACAGCAAAAGACAAGCACGATGAGATTATCTTTCCGAAGAATTTAGAAATCAATGTACCATTAGGTTCAAGAACTTCTTCTTCAGTGCCAAAAGGTGGCCTTGAAAATACGGACAAAAGTAGTATTGCTGTTAATATGTGTTCTAGTGGTCCAAGCTCATCATCGTTGATGCAAAAAGAAAGAACTGACATGATTGATGACAGCAGCTCTTCAAGGCATGGAGATGAGGCACATAGTCTCACCAGTAATCTAAAAAACATGGTTTTGGCTTCTGAATCTGGGAACTCAAAAGATATAAGCCGTGGAAGAGTAAATTCACATGCAGAATATAAGCCTGAAAAGTGGACGCTCTCTGAAAAAGCAGAAGATTCTCTGACTCAATTAAATCTTGCAATTGTAAGTTACATTTTAAGTTTGGGCCTAACAGTCTTAAAATGTTTTGGTGTTATTATTTCTCATCTTAGCATGGTAATGATATAACTCTTCATATGTCTTAGGTTGGGCATGTTGATTCTGGAAAATCAACACTCTCTGGTAGATTGCTTCACCTTTTGGGACGAATATCCCAAAAAGAAATGCACAAATATGAAAAGGAGTCCAGATTGCAGGTGATTTCTGGACTATTCACTTTGAGTTTGTGAGTTCAAGTCCATAATCTGATGTTTTATTTTCAATCAGGGAAAAGGATCCTTTGCTTATGCTTGGGCATTGGATGAGAGTGCTGAAGAAAGGGAAAGGGGAATCACTATGACTGTGGCTGTAGCTTATTTTGATTCAAAAAACTATCATGTTGTTGTCCTTGACTCCCCAGGGCACAAAGATTTTGTTCCAAATATGATAACTGGGGCAGCCCAAGCTGATGCTGTGATTCTTGTCATAGATGCCTCTATTGGTTCGTTTGAAGCTGGTATGGATGGCACAAAGGGACAGACACGGGAACATGCACAACTCATCAGAAGTTTTGGTGTTGATCAAATTATAGTTGCAATTAACAAGATGGATGCTGTGGACTATTCTAAGGATCGATTTGATTTTATAAAATCACAGCTTGGGACATTTCTCCGCTCTTGTGGCTTTAAGGACTCCTCAGTTTCATGGATTCCACTAAGTGCTGTTGAAAATCAGAATTTAGTGGCTGCACCTTCTGATGTTCATTTATCCTGGTGAGGTGTCTTATTGCATGTATTCAAAATTACTATACTTTTAGAATTCATATGTTGTGTATCTCTGCTGACCACAAAAAAACAAGGGCAAAATTAGTCTAACAGATCCAAATGAAAACTTGTGAAGTATTCTAGGTCAATTTTTTCCGGAGATGATATTAGTTGGCTGCTGAATTGTGCCTTTTCATGGTTTGGTGAAACTAAATCTAGGTTTGGCTTAGCTCCTTTTCCAAATTGTGAATTACACTTTATTTTTAATGTCCTACCCCACTTTCAATAGTGATTTATATGTCTTGAGAAATATGATTATCACCTCAAGTCTAGTAAAATTTCTCGTTTCTTATTTGTGTATCTCCAATTTGTGATGGCCAATTCTGTTATCTTGATTGCACGAGGTAGGAGAGAGGGCCTTACTTCCATGAAGAACATAGCATCCATCGTGTATCTCATTTAAAGGCAATGTCTTATACACTGATTAATGCCATCGTTTAGGTTCAAACATGCATGCCAGGTTGGACTTTGAACTACAAGATTTAGCATGGTGATGTTCATTACATATATTTATGTTATGGAGTTCTATGCTAATTTCGTAATTTTTATAATCACTTAGAAGTGAGACTGCACACTGCAGAAATATGGCGGAATTCCCATTCATGTTCAAACATTGTAAAATTAACTGGTAATTTTAATGCAGGTATCAGGGACCTTATTTGTTAGATGCAATTGATTCCTTCCAGCCTTCTATTAGAGATTTTTCAAAGCCCCTACTTATGCCTATATGTGATGTTATAAAATCTTCACAGGGGCAAGTGTCTGCCTGTGGCAAGTTAGAGGCTGGAGCTATTCGAAGTGGATCAAAGGCATGCCCTTTTCTGATGATAGAGATTGTTGTTTTTGTTGGGATAATATGTTATCTTGGCTTGCTATATTTGATTAACTTTACCTACAAAAGTTCCTTTTTGGTGCCCAATGATATTAATTTCTGTTTATAACATGAATATCATCTGTAACCATGATTTGTTGCGTACAATTGTAGGTTTTAGTTATGCCATCTGCAGATATAGCAACCGTGCGTTCCTTAGAGCGTGATTCCCAAGCTTGTTCAATTGCAAGAGCTGGAGACAATGTAGTTATCAACCTGCATGGGATAGATGGAAATCATGTGATGGCTGGTGGTGTTTTATGTCATCCTGATTTTCCAGTTGCATTTGCAAAACATTTGGAGTTGAGGGTGCTGGTTTTGGATGGTGCAACCCCAATTTTAACGGGTTCTCAGGCAAGCTTCCTCTGTTCATTCTGCCGTGTATTTTTCTTCTTCTTTTGTCTGAAATGTTAAGGTTTTACTTAACAATCTAAAATCAAAATGGAAAAATCAGTTGGAGTTCTATGTACATCATGCAAAGGAAGCTGCAAGAGTTTCAAGGATATCATCATTGCTTGATTCAAAGACCGGGAAGGTCGCAAAGAAAGCACCCCGCTGCATTGTGGCCAAGCAGAGTGCAGTCGTTGAGGCAAGTCAGCTGGATGTTGTTTCCAGTTGCTGTTTTATTTGAGTTTTGGCCTCATAATTGCAACCAAATTTGGTTTGACATGGGTCTGTTTTTCTACTTTCAGGTGGTTTTGCAAGAACCAGTTTGCATTGAAGAGTTTTCAAAATATAAAGCCCTTGGAAGGGTGTCTCTAAGAACATTAGGAAGAACAGTTGCTGTGGGCATCGTGACTCGAATAGTTGAGGAGCAGTAGTAGTTTCATACTAAGACTGAAGGGCCGGGCTTGTGTAGTAATTCAAGATCGATGTGAAAAATATAAAGTGTTATAAAATGAGGAAAGGCATTTGTTTTGGTCCTATGAATCTAGGCATAGGAAAAGTACTAAGACTGAAGAGCCGGGCTTGTGTAATAATTCAAATTTCCAACAGATTTATTATATGTAGGCATTGGAAAAGTACTAGTTTCCTAGGTGAGAAAGAGTAATCTTTTAATCAAAATTTCTTAGGTACCACTTAACAAGAACTTTTACCAAACTGAACATTATTCATCACCTTTGAGCAAATGACCAAACCAATTGTATTTGTAGTCCAGCTAATTTCATTTAAGATTTTACTGGGATCGGCGCAAGCAAAAATAGTGCGAGTTTCTCAATATAATATAATACTAAAAAAGAAAAGTGAATATGCCGAGAGTTGGAACTAATATGGGACATTCTTTGGCAAGTTCCGAATGACATTATTCTTCATGCCAACTTTTATACGCATTGCCTCCACACCCTTCCTATTCATTGCTTTCATAACCTTCATTCTCACTACTTGCTCCCTTGACTGCACAGTTGCTATGCCCATACTCTTGTACTTGAAAATCAATGCAGAATTTCCTCCTTCAATATATATACACATAATTATAGTTGTTTGACGGTTGCAATTGCAGTTCATATCATAGATGAGCTAGACTGCAAGACTTGGGGAGAGTGGAAACAAACCTAGAGGCCAGGGCAGTCGTAATGGCCATGTTATTTGCAGGTGATGGACGAGGCTTCTGGCGATAGTAGCGCAAGTACTCTCGGGAACCAAGTGTTATACTTATTATTCCCCCATCAGTTCTTTTGGTTATAACAAGCTCTGAGCCACCAACAAGTTCAACAGAGTTGCCCATATCACCAACGGCAACCAACTGCTTCCCACTCTCATCCACGTCGCTGTTTCCAGAGAAATAATAATAAGCAATAAAAATATTATATATATCTATATATATAAAGAAAAAAAGGTAAAATGAGATGCATACCTGCTGCTATAATCATAGAATTCTTCCAACTCTGCTTCCTCATCTTCATCACCATCACCAGAATGCACCTTGCAATGACCTCTGGCTTCCATATGTTTCCTAGCAGCTTCTAAGCTAGCAAAAGGATGGCACCTTTCATTACAATACAGACAAATGAAATCCCTCTTAACCTGAAACACAACCATGAACAGACCAAAACTCAATATATTAATATAACATATTTAGTCAAAAACTAGAAATCACATCAATATGGTACCTTTAAGGCCAAGGAAGGTGAGCAAGCCTTATGGGTCCTTCAAATATTCAACATCAGGAATGAAGAAACCATGTAACTTATGCATGTAAACCATGTAACTTATGCATGTGAACCATGCAACTTTCAATTGTATCGTGCTCAAGGTAGCACATAAAACTGCAGCACGGGTCTAGCTCCTCCTCTTCTTCATCTTCTTCCATCTGATCACCAGCACCATGCTCGGTTACATTCAAATGGCATAAAGAATTTGCAGCTTGACCAACCAATTCTTCTTCCGGATCAACTTCCTCCCACTCGTCTTCGCTTTCCTCGTCATCTCTATCCCTCGGTTGGGTCAGAGGTTTGTTTACAGCTAGACGAAGAAGTGGCTTGATAATTGCCTTCTCCTCTCGAGGGTGATTGGTTCCTTGAGAAGCTTGCATGATATGGGCTCGTGTGAGAAAGGTGCCATTGATGACCATAAGATGAAGGAAAGTAATTGACAGTGAATGAAGATGAGAAGCTGTGAAAGAGGCAACTCTGTTTACTAAATGTGAAAAATGAATTACAAAAATGCTTGAGTCAACCCATTACAACAGTACTTATATAGCACCACTAAACTAAGTTTAACAACTTGATCTAACAAACTAACCAACCTTTAAGAAACTCAGTTAATCTTGACTAAACCAATACCAACTAATTACATTCTATTTCTAACAGGTCGTGACTTAAGATGCTGGGAATAAGCCTTGGAACTTCGATAGTCCTTGCCACAAACACCACAACTGTAAAACATTGGGGTTTCATTCTGCTTTTGTTTCTCTTGAGCAAGTGCCGATTGTCCTGCCAGAAATAGAGCTTCCGTAACTCCAGGAACTCCAGCTACCTGATTTAATTAATTTTACCGTTAAAACTCACTTAATTATCATTCCCAGACAGAGTTTTCAAGCTTTAACATAGTTATCAGTATTATTCATCTCCAAACACGATGCAACTGTTCAGCGATAGTAGCTAAAAATCAAGGATGTTCAGAAAAATCATAACAAAATAAAAAGAGAAGCAATCAGGAATAGCTAAAAATTGGACCTTGCGCTTGAAATTGTAGCGATGCCATTCAGACTTGTAATGGAGCTTCTGATCAGCATCGTCAAGGAATTCTTTGTTACACGCGTTGCAGGTTAGACCCAACATTTCCTCTTTTGTTTTGATCGCAGATAATTATCTAAAAACTGGAGTTTAGGGTTTTTGAGGGATGATGAAAGGAGGGCATTAGGGTTTGTCAAATATATATATAAACATTGTGTGTATATTATTTACCAGGAAAAAAAAACGTAGCATCCTCCCTAGTCGGTGACGGGAGGTTGAGGATGAGAAAACAGACCTTAGCTGTGAGTCCAATATGATGGGCCTGGTTTCTGCTGTTACGTTTACCCATTTGAGTGGGTTGAATTCCAATGGTTAATGGGCTTCAACCTTAACCTTAATATAGATCCCTAAACTATTCTCAAATAATATATTTGATCACTTAACTTTTAAAAATTATAAAAATTTTTAAGAGAAAAAATTTAAGTGACAAAAAATGTCTTATAATATATAATTTTAATCAACTTTTTTTGAATTTGCAAAAATAACTAATGAATTCGCAACTCAATTTCGAATTTACAACATGAAAGCCAATTTCGCAACACAGTTTTTGAATTCGCAACTCGAATTCGGAATTTACAACTCGAATTCGGAATTCGCAACACAGAAGTCGAATTCGCAACTCGATTTTTTAATTCGCAAATCGAATCACTAAGCAAACATAAAAAATTGAAAGAAAGAAAAAAACAGAATAAAATCTCACTTCTCGTCGAGCTTCTTAATCTCGTCTTCATTCTTGGCACACATCGAGTCCAAAACGCTCTGATCCAGCTCCACCACTTTATCAGCAACTAGGGTTTCGTAATATGGAGTCATTTCTACAGCCGCCGCCACAACCATGACGAAAACACGAGAAGAATTGGTGTTAGAGTTGAGCAAGAATAATTATCTCGGAAAAAATATAAGAGCTTAATCGGATGAGTTATAGTTGGATTTTACTGCGTTGAGGACCTCGTCCTTGAGGCAGACATTCTCTATGTCAGGGACATCTGGGTGCTTGAGAAGGAAAACGTTAACTCACAAAAGCAATTTCGCAACGTGAATTTTACAAAAGTTGAGTTGTAAAATTTAAATTCGAGTTGCGAATTCGAAAATCGAGTTGCGAAAACGAAATGTGTGCTACGAATTAGAAAATCGAGTTGCGAAAATGAAACTCGTGTTGCGAATTTAAAAATCGAGTTGTGAAAAAAAAATCGTGTTGCGAAAATGTCAAATTCGAGTTGCGTATTCGACTTTTGTGTTGCGAATTCCAAATTCAAGTTGCGAATTCGGAAACTATGTTGCAAATTGGCTTTCGTGTTGCGAATTCGTTGATTATATTTGCAAATCTAAAAAAATTAATTAAAATCGTATATTATAAGACATTTTAGATCACTCAAGTTTTTTTTTTAATTTATCAACTTGTTGTAAAATGATTTCCACGCCGTCTTATTATCATAATTTTTGATAAATTTAATGTATATTTTGTAATGATTTAATAACTTTAATGACTATTTATGATAATTTAATAAATTTTATAATCATTTCATAGATTATGATGATTATTTTATACTATTTTGACAAATTTAATAATTTTTCAAATTTATCAAAAATTAATATCCAAAAAAACCATTTAGAGTATAGTTTCAGGACCTCTTATGTGATTTATCCTAAACATAAACACAACTCTTCTCCTTTCTTGCCTTCCAAAAAAAAAACTCTGCTCTTATTCTTGAAAGCTTAACCATCCAATTCATTTCCAGTCTCGCTGAAAATGGCCGAAAATATAATAACACTTGAAAATTTAGGGAATTTGGAAATAACGGTTATTAACCACTCCAGAAAAAGTAAAACAACAATAAAAAACGGATGAAATCAAATAAATCACAATGGCCTGAGCCTGACGGACCACTTTCTAACTAATCAGCTTATCTTTCTTCCTCCAATATGGCCACCGTTTCTGGAGCTTCCCCACACCGAGACTCTCAATCGGGTGCCGTGTCACCCGACACGCCTTACGACCGCCCCGGGTTTCTCAATTCAGCCCTGCAAAATCATAATTGGATCTCCAGGAACATTTTTCCTCCCACTCGCTCCATTGTTACTGGTGCCGGCCGAGTGCTCGCCTCTGTTCTTGGCTTTGAATCCTCCTCCTCTTCTTCATCTTCGGAATGCGGTTCTTGTTCAGGTTCCATCTACCCTTTTTATATTTGGATTTTTCAGAATGCGACTTTTCCCACTAATTTCCTCCTTTTAGTTTAACGATATCAGCGATTGCGCTAGTAGCTTTTATTCTAGTTTTTTGCATCTCCGAAATTAAAGTGGGTGCATTTTTTAACTGTTCAATTCCACACAAAATAGGAGCATGGCATGTCTGCGGGAAGTAACATTAGTATTAATTTTGATTGTGTTATGCTTCCCTTTTGCAAAATGCTTTGCTTTGCACGCCAACCGCTTTATGTCTGCGTGATTTCGGGGATGCTGCGTACTTTAATTTTATTATTGCGGATGTCTCCAGTCTTTCTCGTCCTTTTTCATAGTGGCTCTAACTTTTTAAATGATAATTAAGCATTTTTCTTTTTATAGGAATAGAGGCTAATAGATAAAAATTGGAGGAGATAAACGTTCCTTGTTGCTACTTTGTCTATTCTTCCGAAAAAGTTTTGTTCCCTCATGAAGCACATTGCGTCTGTTCATTTATTTATTTATTTTGGTGCAGATGACACTCATGACAACAATGATGACCAGGAAGTTTCATCTCAAGGGGTTCATGCAATTGAATATGTAAGCGTGCTGCTCTTTATGCTTTAGGTCATGCTTCAAAAAGAACTATGATTTTTCTCTTAATATGTGGTGATACTGGTAAATTTGATGCTAATTTCATAATATTCTTTTTTTCTTCTTATTTTGGTTACTTGCCATGGTAGCATGTACACATTCTTGACACAATTGAGGGTTATAATTATCTTAGAGGATGCCTTAGTTGTTCCTTTGAGGGCATCAGAGAGTGCCCCAATCTTTTGCAGGAAAGACTGAATCCAAGTGTCTAATAGAGCAGCTTCTCATGGAGGAGTCTTTCTCGAGGTAAAAACTTAATTTTCTTACTTTCTTATTTGGACATTTTTCTTATTTTAATCCTTTTCTTCTTCCTCCATAAGGTGTTCTGCTCATACACTATGCGATCGACACCTAGTAATGCATGTACATTATGGCATGTTCAGTGTTTAAATCCTTGGGAAAACTTCACATGACATTGTTTTTGTTTTAACTGATTATCCCTCATTTTTATGTCCCATAAGCATAGTTTAAGTCATAAATGGATGCTATTTTGACCAGGCAAGAGTGTGATAAACTAACAGATATTATCAAGTCAAGAGTTGTGGATTCTCCATCAATCTGTGGCTTGGGGCTTGGGCGACTAGGTGAAACACCTGAGAGAACAGGTGGAAATAGTTTTGCTTTCATAAACTTGAGAGGCACCAGATTTGAAGAATGAATTTCTCGGCACTCATAGTTGACTGATTGTGTTTCTTGTTTCTCTGATGTTAAAATTCATGATTTTTGCAAAAAAGCTGTTTTGGAGGCAACAAAGTTGTTGGAGGAGAAGAAGTCAGGATCAAATGATAAGTCAGAAGGGCACCATGGGACCGCTGCTCTGAATTCCGTTATGCTGAAACATGTTTGTAACACTTTTTTCCTATAATCCTCGTGGATTCTTTCTTATAAGGAAAAAGTGCATGTGAAAAAGTTATGAGGGTTTTTATTATATCATCATCATGATGTTTCCTGTTTCATCGATGGTGCTAGGCATTGCTAGCTTCTTAAGTAAGGCTGTGTGGTATTGGTTAACCCCTTTTGCCTCATATAACCTAATAACTTATGCTGAATGTTCTTTTTCTTTCCCTTCTCTCATTGATTATGTGCCATCTCCTTTATGCTGATATGTTTAACTTGTTTCTTGCCTCAGATAATTTTAAGTTGAATGTTCTTTTAATTCTCCTTCTCACCTTCTCTCTGTGTCATCTCTTTCTGCTTTGAAGACTGAAATTATCTCTGCCTCTGTTTTCATACAACTTTTAAGCTTATGTCTTTTCATGTGTTCTTTGCTTCTCTTTCTAAATACATGTATGTCCATATGTCTCTATGATGTTTGGTGTTACCATAACCTAAATTTACTTGGTTTCATTTGTTATAAAATACCAATTACACATTTAGATGATATCATAAATCATGCTTCATGTGCTTAAATGGTTGTTGGAAGATCTTACAAAGAAAAAAAATCTTAAGTGATGTCATCTGTTATAAAATGCTGACTAGAGAATTCTTTTTTCCTTATACACGCCAATTTCTTATAAGGAGTATTTGTGTCGGTTGTTTGGTTTCATAGTTTACTCACATTTGCGAATGCAACAATTTAAAGCGATTTCTTATCCTTGTTGCATATGTTTTAATGAAGTACTGATTCAAACACCACCGCTGTAGAAGAAAACTAAAAATGAAAATTGTTGATATCTGAATATTATATTAGTGCAAAAATATACCCATTTTTCTCAGTAGGTTTTATTGCTGCAGGATGTTGAACGTGAAGTGGGATTACCTGTGGACTTGGCCAAGTCATACAAGCAAACTTGTCCTCCATGGGCATCACCTTCTAAGAACAATACTGAATTTAGATCTCCATCATCAGTTGTGATGTCACTTTTCAAGGAAGACACACCATATTCAATTGGGAGCAATTTCCTGTACTCATCCAAGGTGCTATTATATGATTATTCCTATGCATGAAATTATGTCACAATTCATATATGTATCTTATTCAAATACATGTAAGAAGGCTACTGTGGCTTCTTTGGCATATAACATGTGGTTTAATCATGGATGGATGTGATATGATTTTCCAGCTGACCGTTTGTGTTACTTTTGCAACTGCTTTTGGGGTTGAGCCCCCGTGTGTGTGTTTTCATAGCATAGAAGAAATAAAATTACAGGTTTCTCTAACCTGAAGCTGTTGAAACTTGGTTAACTGATTGGAAAAGATGCATGCCCGTAATGTGCATGTAGTGTGGGTATAAGTGATTGATTGAAATTCCTTTTTCCCTTGGTTATGATTTAATTTGCTGGGTTTGTATTAACATGAATGTAGCGGAAAAGAAATTCTCTTGCCACCGGCTCATGGAACATCCAAGATGAAATACGAAAAGTGAGATTTAAAGCAACGGAAGAAATGCTGAGGAATCTGTCGTCCTCAAAAATTGATTGGCCTTCAATTCCATTAGAACATAAGAAGGGTCCTGATTCTATAGCTGCCAATAACTTAGGACCTGCTAGGGAAGACAAGGTACAGATCTCTAAAAGGCCGGTGGATGTGTCTATAGACCTTGCTGCAAAATCAGGTACTGTATTTTTCATCAGATTGTGTTTCCTGATTTTCAAAATTCAGCTAGTCTGTTCAGTTTCTAGGTCATAATGATCAAAGACATTACCTCTCCTGCTTTTTCCTTTCAGTTCCACAGCTTACAAAAGATTTATTTCATATTGATGCTTTACAAGACCAGGTATGTTAATGGTGGAACATGAAGCTCACATGGTGCTCATTAAATGTCTTTAATTGTACAGTTATGCCAATATTTATGCCCTTAGTTTATAGCCAAAACCTTTCCATTATTTTTATAGAGTAGATTTATGTTGATAATTCATTTCATTAATCACGGTGTATGGTATTTGATAGATTTATTCTCTTTCTTGCAAAGGTTATGCAACCCACTCAAAGCATTAAGGAGGAAAAAGGTATTCTTTGCATCACGTCTTTCATTTTGTCGCATATCAAACATATTACTGGAGAAAGTAATATAATTAATAAGAATTAGAGTTTAGTTCGGAGTAACGTTTTCACTTTAGAGGTATAAGTAAAAGTGGACAAGTATCAGTAGACTCATAGTCCACCCGTGCAATTTGTATTCCAAAATTTACGATTACTGGTTCATGGACTTAAACAGGGCATGTCGTGTCATATTTCTGGAAGATTGTGATGTGGATGCTTTCATTGGAAAGCAATATCAGAGAACGAAGGTAATAAATATATAGAGGCCAGCAAATTTAAAAATATTTCTTTTTTTTAATAGTGTGGGGGTGATTATATGCTAGTAACTGTTCATAATCTTTTTTAACCATTGACACTTTATACACACCTTATAGATGCAACTACTAGAACCTGAGACCTCTAGATAGAAGAAAACTTCCTTTAACTAGTGAGGCCGCTCAATTAGTTTGCCTTTTATATGCCTTTAGTGACAAAGGAAAGAGTCAAAATGGACATAAAATAAAGATCCCTAACAAATAGGATCTCGACTAGCAATACTAAAGCTATAAAAGAAATAAAAATCTAATATAATCGAGGAAACAATTAAAACACTAATTTGCTGCCCGCTATATATTTATTGCCTGCTTCTCTGATATTGTTTTCCAATAAAAACATCCACATCAGATTGATGGGTTATGGTCTCCAGCAAGATCTTCTAGTGGCTCAATGCAAAAGAAGTGTTCTTATTGTTTAGATTCTCTGTAAATCCAATAAATTTGTGATTGAGACATTTCCATTTTCCGTTGTGGATAACTGCAGCCACACTATATTCCCTTTCTTTTTTCGTCTTCTTTTTACAGTCTTTATCGCTAATAAATCTGTTCCTCTATAAAATGTTTCTGAGTGAGATTTTTTGGATCAGATGAGACATTAGAAGTGGGACCAATACTTCAATCAACAGTATATGTGAAGACTGAAACACATAGGTTGGTCTATAATTCTCATTAAATCTCCCCGAAGGGAAAAAATAGCTCTGATTTTGAATGATTCCCTTGGAAAATCTCGTCTTTGGCGATAATGTCAATGATCATTTTTCTTGTAAATTTTATCTATTTATGTCACAGTGATGTTGATGCTCCCGAGGCCTATCATTTAAAGGAATCCAACGGGTCTATCCAACCATTTAGCTGTACTAGGGAAGGAACTGCTCAGGGTAAGAAACTAGTCATATGAGTTTTTTTTTTCACTTGATGCTTATGAAGTTGTGTTACTATCCTATTTAACTCTTCTTAGCTCATGTAAATACTAGCTCACCAGTAACGGTCACAGCTAAAAATATAACAGTTTGCATGATTCAAGTAGAGTGATTGGAAGATAATATAACTCAGAGAAATCTCAACTGTTAAGATTCCATTTATATTGTTCAAGTGTTTATTTGCAACATTTTGGGTTCGAGATGGTCTGTTATTTAATGCTTAGTTTATAATGAGCTTGCTTCACTGCTAAACATAATCTGCAGATTCACAAGTAGAAGAAAAAAACTGTTGGAAATTAAACGAAGTTGCTGGAATACGCAGCCCCACCAGGTTCCCTTCAGGATCCAAGTAACACAGCCACATCTACCATTTAATCTGCATGGTTTAATTTTGTATAGTTTTGATTATTTTTTGTTTAATGAGTTGTCTCTCTTTTCAGTATGTCTTCTGAAGTGGATAAAGAGAAAAATCATGGACCAATTATTAGCGAGGAAAACAAGGCAGGTGCATGCAGAGATGAGAATAGGTATAGAGTTGTGGCAGAGGAGAAGCGTGAGCTTTTGTGTGAGGCTCCTACGGTAAATGAAACCGATGCTGCTGACTCTGGTTCCCACCGCAGTTGGAGCATGCAGAATGAAGGTTCACCACAAGACCAGAATACACCAACATCAAAAGCCAGTTCGACAGGCAAACGTGACTTTACTATAGAGCAGCAGCAACAGAGAGAGAAAGTGAGCAGATACAACATGCGAAACAGAGGACCGCACAGATGAGTTAACTGTAAAATGACCTGTGTAAACTATAGCCGAGGCAAAAGATAACGGCATGACAGAGAGAACATTCGTAAGCGATAGTAAAATTCACAAATGATATCAGAGCTGTTAGGTTTTTAGTGGTTGATATTAAGGTGTCATATTTTAGAGTAGGATTTGGTCCATTATTTTTTGGCTCGTTATTATTGAATACGTTGAAAATCATCGTTCACATATATGGACTTATAATTTGAAAATTAACTTCTGAATGATTACTGAACATATATTAAGTGATAATAGGTAAAAATCATAAATCGAAATCAACCGTCATATGTTAAATATATAACTGATTTTTATAATTTATTTTCGAGTCAAAATTATTATTAAATAGTCGTGACTATTATTTATGACTTATTTATCAGGTGGAGAAACAATGGACTATGTCGTAGAAAAAATCAATTAAAATTAAGGGGCTTTAAAATAATTTTACCTTTTTTATGTTAACAGAAAATGAACTGCATAAGAACAATTGTACCTTTTTCTTTTTAGATTAAGTTAGACGGTTCTTTTTCCTTTTCATTCTTTTCATAAAAAACATAAACTCTTCCTCTCCACCGACTCCGCCGCCGATTCCTACAGCCTTTCTGCCACCAAACTGAAAAATCATCACACTTCCACTAAAGATTCGATTATTTTGTTGTACTTTTTGTCGTGAACATGGAGGTTTAACCAGTAATTTTGAAACAATTGAGATTTAAGGGCCAAGCCCAATAACTGCCAAACGGTTTGCAGCCAAGCGATAGGCATGGGCCTGAATCCTTGGGAGGGAGGCTGTTGTTTTCTTAATACCTCTCTCACCTGTCCTCTCGTCTCCGGTGCTTTATAAAATTAAAACCAATACTCCAATAGGGTCCTTGGGTGCCTCAGTGAAAAAGAGTTGGAAGTACAACAATAATGGATTCCGCAATAGCCCAGAAAACATGGGAATTAGAGAACAATATCCTCACAGTTGAAACACCAAACCGTTCATCGGATTCAATTTTCTACTACGACGAGGCGGCTCAAGCCAAGTTCCAGCAAGAGAAACCTTGGGCCAATGATGATCACTACTTCAAGCGCGTCAAGATCTCGGCCCTCGCTCTCCTCAAGATGGTTGTCCACGCCCGATCTGGTGGTACCATAGAGGTGATGGGGCTGATGCAAGGGAAGACTGACGGGGACGCCATCATCGTCATGGACGCCTTTGCTTTGCCTGTTGAAGGGACTGAGACTAGGGTTAACGCTCAGGCTGATGCCTATGAGTATATGGTCGACTATTCCCAGACTAACAAGCAGGTTCTTTTTAAAGTCTCTTTTTTGTATGGTTTTGCTTTAAAGCTGGCGTTTATGAAACCCTAAATCAATTTAGTCTCGGTAATTTAAGTAGTTTACCGTAACCAGGGCAAACGGAAAGAGTTGATGATTATATACGGAGAGGGAAATGCCAAATAAAATAAATGAATGTCTATGGGTATCATTTCCTTCTACTGCGAGGAGCTAATTTCTCATTGTTGTTGCACCATCTAGATTGTAGAAGGATCATTAAAGTTGATTGAATTCAAGTTGAACTACATGGTTTCCACTTACATTCTTGCAGTTATGTATATTTGTATCAGCAGTTTTTGTGTGATGCAAGATAGTGTTATGTTTCAGGAAACATGGTAATATTGTTGTCTATGAAAATCATTGCTCTTAAGAAGAATAAGATATCCTGTCTTGTAGGCTGGTCGATTGGAGAATGCTGTTGGATGGTACCATTCTCATCCCGGGTATGGATGCTGGCTATCCGGTATTGATGTTTCAACCCAAATGCTGAACCAGCAGTTTCAGGAGCCTTTCCTGGCAGTTGTAATCGATCCAACTAGGACTGTTTCGGCTGGTAAAGTTGAGATTGGAGCTTTCAGGACATACCCTGAAGGACATGTTCCTCAAGATGACCCTGTCTCCGAATATCAGACCATTCCTCTCAATAAGATCGAAGACTTTGGTGTGCACTGTAAACAGGTTATTCTGAAATCCAACTAGCCTTATTTTCAAGAATACTTGTCCTCTCTCTGTTTATTTACTTGTATGTTTTTCTGCAGTACTATTCATTGGATATCACTTATTTTAAGTCGTCTCTTGATAGTCACCTCCTGGATCTGTTATGGAATAAATACTGGGTAAACACCCTTTCTTCTTCACCTATCTTGGCTAATGGAGATTATGTTGCTGGACAAATTTCAGATTTAGGTAACTCTTCTTTTCCTATTTAATGTTGCTGTACAGATATATTTTCTTAGTTTGCACACAAAATTTTATTTGTTACTAATTTCTTGGTTGTTTATGTTGTTCACACTGTTCCATCTTACAGCTGAAAAACTGGAGCAAGCAGAAAACCAATTGGCTCACTCTCGCATCAGCCCTCTAGGACCCCCACGAAAGAAGGTCTGTATTTTTTTTTTAATTTTGTATGCTCAAGCTATTTTCAGGATAATTTATCTCTCTCTTAATGAATGCAATGTGGCTACCCGCTTATTAGTTGCAGGAAGAATCTCAGCTGGCTAAGATTACTAGAGATAGCTCAAAGATAAGTGTGGAGCAAGTCCATGGTTTAATGTCGCAGGTGACTTAGCTGTTCCAGGTTCTTAGAAATTGTTACTTTATCCATGAATTGATTATGGAATTCGGTTTTAACCATTTCATATCTTTAGGTCATCAAGGACATTCTTTTCAACTCCGTACGACAGTCAAGTGGGTCCCCTAGTGGGCAATCTGGTCCTGAGCCTATGGTTGAAGCTTGATCCTAACCTCTGGCCTGATGAAATGGTTACCTTGAGCTTGAGAGACCAGTTTTTACAAGAAGAAAATACATATACATGGGATTCCAGGCGGCAGTGTCTTTCCCATACTCTGTTGATGTAAGAAGTCAGATCCTTTGGGGTGGGGTTTAATCATTAATCTGTTTTGAACTAAGCTTTTTGCCTAATTCTGTGCTAGTTTATGCATGAATTGTTGAAGAGATCCAAGTATGGAATCAAATCCAAGTAGTAGTTTCAAATTATCTGTTTCCTTTGTAAACTTGTTATGTTATAGGAGTCGTGATAAAATTTGCTGAATATGGTGGCTGGCAGCTTTACAAAACACAAGGGATTTGAGTTGAAAATACTCGCAGTGGAATGAATAACACCTTTGGAATTGTTGAAAGATCTCTTGCTCCGCAATTAATTGAAGATATGAACTCCGGCTTTTTATTCAGACCGACAGATGAACTAGGCCTTCGTATAACCCATAACTAAAGTGTACAAACAATATAAAAACGAAACTGCTGTTAGGTTGGGCCCAACCCTAAGTTTGCATACTATGTCTCTAGTCTCTACTTTGAATCTGGTAAACTAAAACACCCTGTCCAAATCCAATTGGTTCTGTTGCTATTTTCTCCAACTCCGTTGACCCATTTTCGCCGCATTCATCATAGTTGGCATCGATGGATGGGTGGGTTTGACCCTTCTTGAAAATTTTAATATTTCATATAAATTTTATTTTATAATTTTTTATTAATAATCTATTGTCTTTTCTTATAATTTTATAAATTTATCCTTAGATATAAAATAAATTTAAAATTTTTATATAATTTTATTAATAATCTAATATCGTTACTTATATTTTTATAAATTTATCCTCATGTATAAAATCATGAGTTTGTTTCTTATTGCTGGTTCAACAATCTAATGACAAACGATGTAACGTTAGTAGTCTGGTGAGGTCAATGGGTTGTAGGGTAGTCGAACTTAAAGAGCAAGGAGAAAGGACCCGTTTTCCTTTTGCTGAACCAAATAAGTTAGACGATATAAATATCGTTGAAGAAAAAGATAGGCAGCGTCTCACTTAAACTCCAAGCACAGGTGTAGTGCTTTTTCACATGCAAAGAAAGCACATCCCTTGTGAACCCTCTTTTCTTTTTAATCATTACGATTATGAATACGGAGCCTCCCACCAGTGCATTCCAGATGAGACTTGTCATCACCATCACTCTATCTCCAAATGTCCCACTACTTTGAAATTTGCCAAAGACGGACAAAAGGTTTTCAAATTTGTCTTTCTTTGCTGGTTGAAGGGTGAACGAAATGGTCCTCTTAGCCGCACAAAAAGAGAATTTAATTGTTTCAAGATTTAACAGAGAAATGGTTCTGTTCATGGGGTTGGGCTCTTTCTCTTTGCCATGTATCTTTGACTTTGAGGCACTGCTTGTGACGATCTCACATGGGGTTAACTCCCTACCTCTCCTTTCTTTTTGTTTTATCCTTTTTATATTAATATATAAGTGCACTACTCTCAAATTCACTTCTCTTGATGCCTAGTCGTATATAAAATAAAAAACATTTAGCAGAGGAGGGTAACATGTGAGAGAGCCAGCATTTCCCACTGCTCACCTGCATGTGATCTCAATACACTTTGGCCTCTCTTTTCAAATATGTTGTGTCACGCTCCCCCTCTTAACCAATTTCATTAATTAAAACAAGCTATACTTGGACAGGTCCCGTGAGTCATCACAATCCATGTATATTTATATCAGACAGATCTATAAATATTATCACGCCCTCAACTCATGCACTACATTTTCCAGACTACACTAGACGTACGCAAATAATTATTTTTATCTGGGATCGATTTGAATTTATTTTTATAATTATATTTTTGAATTTTTAATATAATAATCATTTTAGATTTTGAATTAGTGAAAAATAATTTTAAAATACCATATAATTTTTTAAAAAAAAATAAAATTTAATGTAAAAAAGTATATTCCTGAAATATTTTAACGAATGATTATAGATGAAGTTGTCAAATATTTTTATATGAATTCAAGGACAAACGCCAGATTTTTTTATTTTTTTTTTTGAGAAAGGGATTTTGTATTCAAGATGGATAGAATACAAAATTAAACAACATCATGAGATTCGTTAAAAAACCTCTCTAAACCTATATAGAAGAAAAAGAGTGCACCATGAGTTTTCATGAAAGAAAACCAACAATAGAACAAGAATACAAAGCCACAATTAAACAAAAGCATACACACAAACGAGGCTCAGAGCCAAACCCCAACTTTAGTATTGCCTCAAAACAGAGCGCACACACACAACTCCGAAGAAGCAAAACAACGCTCCAACGCCATACTACATGTGCCCAAGACCTTCCAGCAAAGGAGACCAGCAGCTGCCACATGTAAGAGCAAATGAGATAACCCCAGTGCTCCCGAGCAACACCATGAACAAGAGAATCCATCTCGGCAGCACCCGCGCGAGACCCCCACTGCCTGACTCCTAAAACTACAACCTAAAACTGCAATAAGGCGAATGACACAAACATGACATCTTTGGGCTCAACGACGAGATAGCTACTAGTTGTCACAAAAAGTATAAACTCATAACAAAAGTCTGAATCATCAAAACAGGCCAATGTCACACTCCTTTGGGTTTCTAATGAAATCGTTTATAGACCAGGCACTATTAGGGCATTTGTTTTTCACCCAAAGACCCGTTCTAAGGATCGCCGCTTCAAAAATGCTTTCATCATTGTAAACGCCTTTGTGAGAGTGGACTCATACAATTCTGGAGGGCGTAAATATATTATTAATAGAAAATACAAAAAATATCTAAAATATGTAATTATTTAAAACTTTGAGGGGATGACTGCTTCTGATTGCTCCCCTTGGTCCATCTTGTATAAATTCATTAATCTTATATATTTTTTTTGCATAATAGTCTTATGTTTAAATCTTAAATAATAAGTTTTAATTATTTTTTTAAAATAAACATATCTTAATCATTTATCAATTACCTAATAAATGAGTAACCGTATTCTTTTCTAAAGTATTCCGAATCTAACTTTCATCATCCCTACCGGGGAAGTGTTACGAATCGTCTGCTATTTATGATCATGTTGAAACTGTTAGCGTTTCCACTATTTTGCGTTACCTACGGTACAGGTATGTGTCGTGTTTCCTTCCACACACCCACATTGCTCTAACTCTTGCTCAATCCAAAGAGCATCTAAACCAACTCAGCCAAACCCCTTTTTACCCGAAAAGAGATGTATTTTCTTTTCAAACGAATAATAAAAAAGGCCACCTAAAAAGAAAATGTTCGATTCCCAGGTATGGATATTGTGGAGGGTGAAGGCAGCCACATCTTTTGTACCAATTATTCTTCTGGCAGATATGCCCGTCTGCCTTTGCTTTTATAACATTTGTGTTTCGTTTGCTTGAAACAAGAATAATGGACCGTCTTATGCATGCATGCATACATATCTGGTGTGAGCATTAGTGAATGGGAATAGCAGCCGTTAAGTAATTGGATTGAACACCACTATCTGCTCTGCCAAACACTTGTCTCTCTCTTTTTCAATTTCTCTTTCCCTTTATTCCTTTTTCCCAGGAGGGGAGTGATCAATTTCTTATCTTGGATGGTAAAACATAGTTGGAACTCCGTTATTTACTAATATTTGTAATTAAAACAATTATGTAATATTAAATTATATATAGAGATTAAGATTTACTTGTATTATGTAAAATTTCATCAATTTTACTCAAAAATGTAAAATTTCATTTGTATTCATACATAGCATAACTGAATATTTTGATAGAATATTTATAAATAAAAGGGAGAAGGTGGAGAATCCAAGAGTTCCCCCTCTTCCAAACTCCCCACTCTATTGGGGCCTAAACCAAGATTATGAGAACACCATGAATCATATATCAAACTACATGATATAGTTAATTGAATTATAATTTCTTTTAAAAAATAATTATCGTGGACAACAACACCATCGTATTCACTATCTATCTATGAAATTATTTTACCTTAACAATGTTTACCTTTTTTGTAAGTAGTACTCCTATCAATTTAGTTTTCTTACACGCCATGCATATATTATTAGGTCGGTCGTATTTATGATAAAACATTGAGCAGTTCAATTATAAGAGCCTAAAACAAAACATGTGCAATTGAAGGCTGCAGATGTTCCGGCCTAAAGGGTGGGTAATTTTGTTGCATGCATGACGACCAAAATCAATTTCAAAATAAAATCAAAGCCGGTGAGCCACCACAATTACACGTAACCTTTCTTTTGACAGCGGGAGAACTCAGAGATCAGGAGAAACATTTCCCATTTAATTTCGTTCAACTGATGCTACCACTCGCCGCCACCCTTGCGTCGGTTGCACGACTTTCTCTTCTCCATTTCTTGAAAGGTATAATGACAAAAATATTTTCTATAACAATAATTTTATTTTATTTTTAGAATACTTTGATTATTACATTTTATTTTTACGTAAAAAAGTTTTTCAATGAATAAAAATTATTAGTTAACAAACAACTAACGCTCTAAAATAAAAATCTTTTTTATCATAAAATGAAACGTAACATATCAAAATGATATAATAAAAAATAAGAGTTAAATTGACAATTTAATCAAATGCAATGGACTTTTTTGCTCTAAAAATAAATGTTGAGGTCCAAGATACTTCAAAGATAAAAATATAAACAAAATAGTTATTTAATAAAACATTAAAAATATTTTTTAACACCATATCTTCCCGAGATAGATTTACATATATTTTAACATTATACGTAAAATGATACCATTTTCTTTTACATATATTTTAACATCATATGTAAAAGGATACTAATTTTTTTTACATATATTTTAATACCATACGTAAAATGATACTAAAATTTAAAATTTTAAATCCGATTTATAAATTAAAGCTTTTGCATTGTGATTTACGTAAACCTAATAAAAAATGATAAATTTAGTATAAAAATAATAGACTTTCACTTTAAAATTTTAAATATAATTTTATTTATATATATAATTTCACCATTTATAAAATTTAAAACTAAAATCATTAGCATAGTTTCGTATTTTTCTATTTAAAATTTATATAAAGAATTAAAATTCCAAATACGAATATTATACAGAAACTATACATATAGTGTGAAGTCAACTTAAAGAAACAGCGCGTGGTAGTGGTGTCACGAGAAGAACCAGGCCAAGCGGGTCCCAGCCTCACACTGGCTTTCTGGTGCGCTCGTTGTTTTGTATTGTACTTCGAGGCAGCGATCAGGAGGCTCCTCCGCCATTTCACGTATATAAACCCATAAACGCAGAAACAGATACTCCATTCATTTACGTCTGTAAGAAGAAGGAAAAAAATCATTTT